AATATGCATTATGATGCATTGATGCCAAAAATATATAAATACTTTACGGATTAGTAATAGTATATATATACAAACCTAACTATAACAATGAAAACGATTTCAATATCAAAAAGAAACCGTATTTCCACCCTTCTTGAAGAAGGTTACTCCAGCCATACTATTGCTTTTCATGAAAAAGTAAGCCATAGTACAGTCTTAAGAATAAAAAATTTAAAGAAGCAAACTGGTTGCTTGGATGTTAAACCAAGGCCAGGCCACCCAGAATACTTACCACCCACCACAAAAGAAGAATAGCCAGAGAATTTAGATCGAGTACATGCCAGACTACTGTTCAAGCCCAAAAAAAATTAACATCTGACGAAGGTGTTCGTGTTTCCACGAATACAATCTGCCGCACACTATAAAGACAAGGTCTCAAATCTCAGGTAAAGAAAAAAAAACCTCTACTTCAACCATGGACCAAAAAATTGCGAAGAGAATTCGCAAAAAAATATTGTCATTGGACTGTCGAGGATTGGCAGAAGGTGATTTTTTTGGATAAATCAAAATTCAAGATTTTTGGTTCGGATGGAAGAGAATAGTGTTGGAAAGTCCCAAATTTGCTATTGTTACCACAACACGTAAAGTTGATGGTGAAATATGGTGGGGGTCTGTAATGGTATAGAGCTGTATAGGTATGTACGGTATTGGAAACTATTGTAGGATTGAGAAAAATATGAATAAGGAGTTATATCATGAAATTCTAAAAGATGAGTTAATTGGGATGTTGTGAGCATGGTGTTTGACAAACAATGATTTTATTTTCTAACATGATAATGACTACAAACATACGTCGAATATAGTTACCGACTGGTTGGATGAAAAAGGAATTGAAGTTTTGGATTGACCGCCATACTCTTCTGATTTAAATCCCATAGAACATTTATGAGATGAAGTTGATTGTCATTTGCGACAACTTCCTGGTAATATTTCTAGTGAAACAGACCTGTGGAATAAGATCCAAAAGGTGTAGAATGAGATCGATGACGATTACATTTTAAAGCTAATCGACATGATGCCTCAACAAATTAAGGACATACTCAAAGCTAAAGGGAGTATACCAAATAGTAAATTTTAAAAAAAAAAAAAAAAAAAATTTTAATTTACTTAAAATAAATTTAAAAAAAATTCATGTATTAATTTTTTTGGCTTTGTGCCAAAATTGTTGTTTCACAAAGTTTGTAGAAATTTTAATTTTTTCAAAAAAATAATAAATATTTTTTTGTGAAATTATAAAGTTTAATAAAGGAAGTTAAGAGCTTTACACCATTGAAGTTTATTAGTTATTTGTATTACAGAATGTGAAATATCACACTCTAAAAATTTTAAACACGGTGGAACAATAATTATGGAAATTAGTGTAATATAAACTTAAATAACTTATCTTAGACGACACTAAATAAAAAAGATAGTGTAGTAGTAAGTATTAACGAAAGTGAATAGCTTAAATATATCAATTATGTGGTGATCTACATATGGCAAAACAGTTTTCCTTGATTTTTTTCATTACTTTAATAATGCACCAACCTTTCAAAGTTTGATTTTGCTGAAAGTTCTCATTCAGACGCGTCTAGTGAACCACTTTTTGGGCCATCAATTTGCAAACCTGAAAAGAATACGGCAAAAGTAGACAAAATAATGGCTTATGTTCAAGAGCATGTTATTTTACAAGGAGAAGTTCGTTTCTTATGTTTTTGATACCGTCTATCTTGTAAAAACCTTGGCAATAATTTTGTCTTAGGGAGTGTAGCGTACTTCAACTAAGCTTTTAGGTGAAATTTTAAAAATATAATTTCGGCATATGACAAAATTTTAGATGTGACATGTCGTGTGACTGCTAGACTATCTATTAAGGTAGATATGCCTAATTTGGCGCACCTAAGTTCTACGATGAATACCATGTGACATATCGATCAGAATCAGATGA